ATATTAATATATTTGGTATAACTATATAAATAAAATCCCACTTTACGATTTCTGAAGATTCTAGATCTAGTACACAGAGGGAAAATGAAATATAAACGCCTGGTACCAAATTGATACCAAAGAATTTATAATTTTTCAGTAACATCTGTTGTCAAAGTATATACATACGTACGATAACACTATGTAACGTTGACAACACAACGTTGTCAACATTGCAACAATTCGTTGTCGAAATCTAAATTTTATACACATCCGTTGTCTAAATGTTAACAAACGTTTTAAGCTCAGTATTGACAACGGATTGTTTGTCAATAGTGAACGTTTGTTAACGGATGTGTATAAAATTTAGATTTCGACAACGAATTGTTGCAATGTTGTCAATATTACATAGTGTTGTCGTACGTATGTATATACTTTTGACAACGGATGGTATTGAAAAATTATAAACAGTTTGGTGTCAATTTGGTACCAGGCGTGTATAATTCTTTTTCCCTCTGTGCAGTTTCCTAGATATACAAATTTTTGTATTTAATTTATATGGGAGGTGCTTAACACTTATTGAAATTCCGTCTATTTTTCTCATGTTCACATAAATGACAAAGTTTTTCGTGCAAAATTGTAAGATTCAAGCTCTAATAGTTTCCCAGATAAACGAATTTTTTATTTTAATTAAGATTGGAGGTGCCATGTCCCTACTTCTAGTCCAACAATTTATTACCGAAATATTCACATTTTTGTTTTTAATTCATATCGGAGGTGTCAAGACCCTCTAATGAAATTCCACTCATAGTTCTAATAGTTCCCCAGATAAAGGAATTTTAGTATCTAATCCATACGGGAAGGGCCACGCCCTCTTTTTATAATCCGCCTTTTTATACCCTCCACCACCATCAGTGGTGATAGAGGGTATAAATAACTTTGTCATTCCGTGTGTAACACCAAGAAATATTCATCTGAGACCCAACAAAGTATATTTATTCTGGGTCCTTATCAAATTCTGAGTCGATTTAGCTATGTCCGTCTGTCCGTCTGTCTGTGTAAAACACGCTCACGATAAAACGAAGCAATAGAGCTTAACCAAATTTACCCAAAATGTTCTTCATTTTCCTAAGTTCTTTGGTATTGCAAATGGGCAAAATCGGTTCACACCGGAAAAAGTTATGAATCAAAATTTAAAACAACCTCAGAAAAAAATAAGCATTTTTTACACATTCTGATATAATTTTCTCGAAAACTATGCAAGATAATTCCATGGAAATCACCATACATTAGTTTCTGCACAAGATCTTGATATCCGCTGAAAATTGCCAGAATCGGTCCACAATTTCATATACCTCCCATACAAAAGTACATATTCCCAGAAAATGGGTTTTTTGTTAATAACTTCCGCCACAATGTCGATATCTTCACAAAATTTTACAAGTCAAAATCTTATGTCATTAGAATTCTTTCAGAGGAAAAATTTTATGGATCGGTCCATAATTGGACATAGCTCCCATACAAGGTCCCCTCCCGAAAATCACTTAAACGCGCATAACTCATTACTAAATTAAGATATCCATATAAAATTTGGTATAAGTATTGCCCATATGCATAGAAATATTACTGTGAAAGTTTTTTCCGATCGGTCCATAATTGGTCATAGCTCCCATACAAGGTCCCCTCCCGAAAATCACTTAAACGCGCATAACTCAGTACTAAATTAAGATATCCATATACAATTTGGTATAAGTATTGCCCATATGCATAGAAATATTATTGTGAAATTTTTTTCCGATCGGTCCATAATTGGTCATAGCTCCCATACAAGGTCCCCTCCCGAAAATCACTTAAACGCGCATAACTCATTACTAAATTAAGATATCCATATAAAATTTGGTACAAGTATTGCCCATATGCATAAAAATATTACTGTGAAATTTTTTTCCGATCGGTCCATAATTGGTCATAGCTCCCATACAAGGTCCCCTCCCGAAAATCACTTAAACGCGCATAACTCATTACTAAATTAAGATATCCATATAAAATTTGGTACAAGTATTGCCCATATGCATAAAAATATTACTGTGAAATTTTTTTCCGATCGGTCCATAATTGGTCATAGCTCCCATACAAGGTCCCCTCCCGAAAATCACTTACACGCGCATAACTCATTACTAAATTAAGATATCCATATAAAATTTGGTATAAGTATTGCCCATATGCATAGAAATGTTACTGTGAAAATTTTTTTCGATCGGTCCATAATTGGTCATAGCTCCCATACAAGGTCCCCTCCCGAAAATCACTTAAACGCGCATAACTCATTACTTAATTAAGATACCCATATGGTACAAATATTACTCATATGCACAGAAATATTACAGATAATTTTTTTTCCGATCGGTCCATAATTGGTCATAGCTCCCATACAAGTTCCCCTCCCGAAAATCACTTAAACGCACATAACTCATTACTAAATTAAGATATCCATATAAAGTTTGGCAGAAATATTGCTCATATACAGAGAAATATTACTGTTAAATTGTTTTCCTATCGATCCATAATTGATCAAAGCTCCCATACAAGGTCCCTTTCAGAAAAACACTTAAAGGCACATAACTCATTACCAAATAATGATATAAATAAATACTATTTTTGTTCATAAATACTATTTTGTAATGCAAAAAGCACTTAATGTTATTTCAAAAATTTTTCACGATCGGTCTATATTTGGTCATATCTCTCATACTAGGTCCTGCCCCTAAAAGCGCTTTAACCGTATTTAACTATTTGCATTATCAATTTGTGTAGAACAAAATTATATATAGGTATGTATTTTTAAAATCCTTAAATCTTTCACACACATGCATACATGCAAATACGAGATATCGCTAAAGCATATCTTAGGGCGCTATACAAATTTAAATGAAAGTGGCGTTTCTAATGTTCAATAAATCTTGGAATTGTAGTAGATTTAAGCTGTTTAAATCTTGGGATTTTTCTATTTAAGACATGAGAAAACTTATTTCTACAAATATTTTATTAATTAGAAATGTATTAATACAAAAGTTGCTGGTGGAGGGTATTTAAGATTCGGCTCAGCCGAATATAGCACTCTAACTTGTTTTTACTAAATATTCAGGTTGTTAAAAAAGTGATGACTCTAGTTGACATGTTTTGCCAGATATACTAATTTAAGTTTTTTTATGTGATAGCTGCCACGCTTACTATAAATAGGATGCTCATTTTATGCTAACATATTTATATGGATGTCAAATATGTCCGTACATAATTTGATTGTTCTGGCTGTTGCAGTTTCTGAGATATGCCACTTTTAGTACTTATTGTGCATGAGAGCGTGGCACCTAGACCACTTGAAATTTTAACTATCATATATAGTTCCTACCAGACATATAAAGACACTATAAAATGTTCAGAAAAATATGTTCAACGTTTTAGCAGTCTATAAAGTCTGATCAAGCACACATTCGCCCAATTTATGGAGTCTGGTTGTATGGGGGCTAGGTGAAATAATGGACCGATATCAATCAAAATCAATACGGATCGTCCTTAGGGTCAAAAGTAGTACGTGTACGAAATTTCTACTTATACATATATCTACAAAGTTTTACATGGACAGACAAACATACAGACAAACAGACAGACAAACAGACAGACAGACAAACAGACAGACAAACAGACAGACAAACAGAGAGACTAACAAACAGACAAACAGACAGACAGAGAGACAAATAAACAGACAAACAAACAAAAGACAGACGGACATGGCTTAATCGACTCAAACATTTATTATGAACCAATTGGTGGTGTAGGGTATAAAAATGATAATTTTTGTTGTTATATAGTAAAGCATAGTGAAACCATTTCACCATTATCCACAAATTACAATACTAATTGAATATTTTCCCTAACTAACAAATAACGAAAAACAATTATGCCATAAAAAAAACATTAAACTAGAGCATAAACGTTATAACAATAACGTTTAAAGTTTATAGACATACTCATAAAGTAACATTTTTATGCTCATATAAACTAAAGGATGAAACTAAGAGAGAGAAAGAGAGAGAGAGCTTTTATATTGGCCAAGAGAAAGGGATATTTACACTTTTTTGGGGAAGCAAAGTATAACAGTTTATTAAGCTAATAATTTCCCTGTATTAAGGGGTAATTGAGGGAAATATTCAGAAATAACATAAAGAGAAGGCAGAAAGCTGCAAGTAGGCAAAAAGGACACGTTTTAAAGGGACTGTTTGAAAAGAAAAACAAACAATTGTTTTGTTTGTTAAGTGGTTTTTGGAAGAATTACTTTTGTTTAAAAAAATACTGACAGCAGTTTTATAAGATATTTTAAAAGATAACAAGTTTCTTTAAAGGATATGATTTTAAAGTTTAGGCTGAAGTTTTTTGCTTATAATTTATGTTTTAAGATTGTAATATATAAAAATTTTTATATAATTTATTAAAATGTTTATGACCTAACCATTGTATATATGGTTTAACCATAAAGTATGTTAAAATAACAAAAAATTTCGTTATTTTAAACAACACAAAGAAACACAACACATTTACGCAGAAAAAGAGCAAAAAGTCGAAAACAGCTTTTTGTCTCTTGAGACAAAAACTTGAATAAAAAACAAAAATTATATACAAAACAACTGCAAGTAATAAGGATATGACCTACGCAATAATACTAATGTAAAAACAAACAACAACAAAACCCAAGTCCTTTTTGAATGAAATTGTGTAAAGAGCAAGAGCATAAGGATATAAAGAAGAGAAATAAGTTTTTGTTAAATTGTAAACAAGAGTTCAAGTTAAAAAGCTTTTTAACGTTATTAACGTTATAAACTAAAGAAATCGTTAGATTTGTTCAATAACAACAATTCGTAAGGATTCGTTTTTTTGGCCAAATGTCAATGTGTGTGAGAGTTTTTGCAAGCAAAACCAGGTAAAATTGTAGGAGAGTAAAAAGCTTTTCAGTCGTTTAACGATATTCGGGCCGTACGGTTGTTAAGCTAAATACAAACGGGAACGTATATATTAAAAGAAACTTTAAGAATAGGGATAATAAATAAGCAACTGCAATAATTTAATTTAAAGCTATAATATAAACGGAAAATAAATCTAAACATAAATAAAATTATATAAATAATAAACCTTTGAAAAGGAAATGAAAAAATTATTGAAAAATTTTCTCTTCTAACCATTAAAAGGGCTTTAAAAACTAAATAATTGCCTGCGGTTTTTCAGAGTATAAATATTATTGTGGGCTACATGCTGGGTTCCTACATTTATGTGGGTGTATAAGTAAAAAAAAACCAAGTTAAATGAGTGCGTGTATATAGTATGTTCAGGTGTGTGTGTGTGTGTGCCTAAGGATGAGTGTGTGAACTGTGGCACAACTTGTATTTGATGTGTTTTTTGGCTTTTTAAAACATTTTGACAAATACAAATGCATAAATTATGAATGAAACTACCGTTAAGTGCGTGACAACTTATAATTTGTTATACAAAAACAAAATCCTACAACCACAATAATAACAATAACAAATCGAAATATAACAAAAACAGCAATCAAATTTAAATGTTTACAACATTAAACAAAATACCAATACAACAACAATAATATAATTATAAAAACCAAACTAAAATAACAAAATTAAATAAAATCCCTTCAATACAATAACAAATTCCCATAAATAAATCTATTTGGAAAATTTCCTTAAAATAATATATAAAAATAAATCATATTAAAAACAAAGTGTATTTATAAAAACAATAAATTTTGTTAAACAAAAGATTAAATGAAATATTTATAAAGAAAACAAAACAAACACGTGCTGTTTTTCTTAGCGATGGCACCCCTTTTTTTGTGTAACAAATTTGCCATTAATCATCATAATTCGTTCATTTATCTTAATAATTTTAACTTGAAAAACCATTGATTACATGAACGTTTAAAACAATATAGTGTGTGCGGTTTTATAAAACTTTAGTTAAACGTTGTTTATTATTTTGTTTTGTTTCAATTGCTCTCATTTTTTCGCTGGTTTTTGTGTTTAACAACTGAAACCAACTGTTTGGCATATTTATTGTTCTCGGTTTTAGGTGAACGTTTCTGTGTTTCCTATTTTAACCAACCTTAATGGCTAATGGCTTTTGAAGGATTGCAAAAATAAATGATTAATTATGGTAAATAGAAATTTATGTCATTATTATATTTAACAAATATTTTTTGTTTAAATTTAATGCAATAATTTTGTTCATGTTTTCTATTACAATTTTTCTTTCGAAATATCATTAGAACTATCATAAATTCCCTATCAGGACAAAATTTTGTTCAAATCAATTTTGAGTGCCCAAAAATCAAACCAAAATATTAACCTTTAACTACGAACGTTGGGGTAATTTTGACACCTGACTTACATTATTTTAATTTACTCACATCACGATGAAATTCAGCATAAATAATTTTTATATAAACATAAATCCTTCCACCAAATTTTGCAAAGATCGGACAAAATTTAGTTCAAATCAATTTAGAGTTCCCAAAAATCAAACCAAAAGATTAACCTTTAACTACGAATGTTGGGGTAATTTTGACACCTGACTTACATTATTTTAATTTACTCACATCACGATGAAATTCAGCAAAAAACCTTTTATATAAAAATAAATCCTTCCACAAAATTTTGCGAGGATCGGCTCATATTTAACCCTATCCCCCATATAAAGCATACTTCACTATATCAGTTTTTGAACTATTTTGTATTAAGATAAAGATCAATAACGTCGTCAAGTAATAACGACAAACAAAGTTGTATTTTACTCATGAATAGACATGGGTTTCTAATCGATTAATAAATAGTGCGGTTCCTATATAAAATACTTTGAAAAAACATATCTAAGCTTGTAAAACGATGCAAAACTAAAATCAAAATTTTAAAATATTTCTCATCATATATGTTATTTTAAAGGCCTCAGTTTCTACTTTCTAAATCTGTTGAGAAACTTTAAATCGATTTAGATTTAACTAAGTTAACTCTTTCACGTATACGGGACACCGGTGTCCCAAGATTTTTTTAAAATTTTCTCGATTTTGAGCGTAATTTTGAGTTTAAAGCTACAGTAAATGGTTATTTCCAAAGAAAAATAAGTTATTTTTTAGAATTTGATGTCACTTCATGCTAAAAAGGATAAAATCCTGTAATATCCTTTGAAAACACTTTTTCCATTTTTCATCTAAAATTATCAATATTCGTCAAAATAACATGTGTGGTGAAGTCATATCCATAACATGTCCAACGGTTTAGTTTTGTGCGTGAAAGGATTAAAGACTTATAAGTTCTGAAAGATACGAAAAACTGTGTTTCAACCCGAATCTCAAGATTTTGTAGGTGTTTAGCAAATTTCAAAAAAACAGATTCTTGTGATACTCGGATCCGCCTTTTAGAAAAATAATATCACTTCCCAGGTATTTATTTTTGTCGCATAGTGTAAGTTAAGGTTAAATGGTACGGTATTTTCTTGTCCGATTTCTCAAATATATAAAAATTACGTTGAAATATACTCAATTACGAATGTGCAAATCCTGTTCTAACATATTAAAAATTTTGACTTAAATTAATTTCGTATAAGAAACACAATGGTTAAGAAACTTTAATTTTTGTAAAGCTATTGGATATATCGCAATGAACTTTCACATATTTGGAACTGAGATGTTTTCGAGTTGATTGACAGTTATAGTTGATTGAGGGCGGAATCAATTTATGATCCGAATGAGCTGAAATTTAAAATATAACTACTTCTTCACAGTTCGATTTTTGTGTTTTATAAATTATATTAAAGATAATATTCCTTGGAATATGCTAATATTTTTATAACCAGAAATATTCATCTAATACCCAACAAGGTACATATGTATATTCTGGGTCCTTATCAAATTCTGAGTCGATCTAGCTATATTCGTCTGTCCGTATGTCTGTGTAAAACACTCTCACGGTAAAACAAAGCAATAGAATTTAACCAAATTCACCCAAAATGTTCTTAATTTTCCTAAGTTGTTTGGTATTGAAAGTGAGTAAAATCGGTTCACATCGGGAAAAGTTATGAATCAAAATTTAAAACAACCTCGAAAAAAATAAGCATTTTTTACACATTCTGATGTTATTATCTCGAAAACTATGCAAGATAATTCCACGAAAATCATCATACGTTCGTTTCTGCACAAAAGCTTGATTCCTCCTGAAAATTGCCGGAATCGCTCCACAATTTCATATACCTCCCATACATAAGTACATATTCATGGAAAATAGGTTTTTTGTTAATAACTTCCGTCACAATGTCGATATCTTCACAAAATTTTACAAATTAAAATCTTATGTCAATAGAATTCATTCAGAGAAAAAATTTCTGGATCGGTTCATAATTGGACATAGCTCCCATACAAGGTCCCCTCCCGAAAATCACTTAAACACACATAATTCATTACCAAATTAAGATATCTACATAAAATTTGGTACAAGTATTGCTATCATATACCGAAATATTACTATGAATTTTTTTTCCGATCGGTCCAAAATTGGTCATAGCTCCCATACAAGGTCCCCTTCCGAAAATCACTTAACCGCGATTAACTCATTACTCATAATTAAGATAACCATACAAGATTTGGCACAAATATTTCTTTTATATGCAGAAATGTTTCCGTAGATGTTTTATCCGGATCGGACCATATTTGGTCGTAGCTCACATACAAGGTCCCCTTCAGAAAAACACTTAAACGCACATAACTCATTACCAAATAATGATATCCATACAAAATTTTGTCAGAAATATAACTTTTTTCTAATTTAAAATTAGTATTATAAAATTTATTCAGATCGATCCATATTTTACTTTTATATACAGAAATGTAGCTAGAACATTTTTTTACGATCGGTCTACAATTGGTCAGATGTTCCATACTAGGTCACTTCTCGAAAATCACTTTAACCGTATTTAACTAGTTGTGATATCTTTTATAAAATTATTATAAACATTTTGTGTACAACTATATGTATATGTATTTGTATGTCCTTACACCTTTAACACATATACAAATTATTAATTATCGCTAAAGCATATTTTAGGGCGCCATAAAAGTATTAAAGAAAATGGTGTTTGTAATGTTCAATATATCTTGAATTTATAGTATGATTTAAGCTATTTAAACTTATTTCTATAAATATTTGATCAATTAAAAAAGTATTTATATATAAGTAGCTGGTGGAGGGTATTTAAGATTCGGCTCAGCCGAATATAGCACTCTAATTTGTTCCTTACTAATTATGCTAAGGGGAAGCTATGTGCCAATTTTTAGTATTTATCTCAAATTCCCCAAATTGCTAATTTTTTGCCTATATATAAGCCCAAACGGCTGTACCTAGAATCATGAAATTTTGACAGTAGATGTGTTTTTGGTTATATAGATCCACTAAGGAGGGATTTGTTTAAATTTGTACATTTAGGGGTAAAAAAGGGAAAAAGCGGGTAAAACCGGTTTTCTTAATTATCTTTCCTAATATTAGTGATACAAAAAAATAATTTAAATGCACATGTATCTACTCTTAAAATAAGCATATGGGTGTCTGGTACTTATTTGAAATTCGTACATTTAAGGGGTGAAAATGTGTAACAAAGGTGATTTTGGTACCATTTTTGGCCGTTTAGAACTTTTTAACTAATAAACAAAATAACATTTTTGTAAATATTTTGAATATATCTCCCAAAATTAAGAGACAACTGTTTCGTACTTTTTTTAAATTCAGCCCTTTTTGGGTGTAAAAGGGAGAAAACTGTATTTTTGGTACTTTTTTAGCACATTAAGAAAACTTTTTCGATTTATTGAAGTATTCCTATTAAATTACGGACTAACTCTGTAATATTTATTGAAATAAAATGTTTGCTATTTCACTGGGGAAAAAAGTACCAAAAGGGGGAAAAACGGGAAATTTAATTTTATTCAAACTTTTTGAGCCAATTTTTATAAAGTTTGAAAAAGTAGTTTATTTACTCACACAATATAAGATATTGGTATATTATTTTGGAATTCGAGTACTGGAACCAAATTCGAATAATTGTTTGGTACTTTTTGAAAGCACAATTTTTCTGGAACAAATGAATGCAAATTTGAATCGTTTGAATTTTATCTGTGATATATAAGATTTAAATACGGAAAATTTTGTAAACTTAATTCTCAAAAAGTATATTTCTAAGCGAAAAGGGGAAAAATTGTACTATTTTTATTAATACTTGCCACTAAGGTAGAGAACTTTTTAGTACTTTTTATCTCATAAATGGTACTTTTTGAATTTTCTAAAATATTCAACCTAGGAACATAAATTTAAACATACATGGTCTTGACTGAATAATATTCTGTAAGTGGGTACTCTTTGGTAATTTTCCATTCTTCAAATGGTACCTTTTGGTTTCTCTATAATGGTTAACCGGAACACATCCTTATTAAATGAGAATTTATTGATAGAGATTATTGTACTTTTTCGCTTTTCCGATTGAACATAGAAATATAAAATTTTAAATATAGGGAACTTAGTGAATGAGAATCTACAGAAAGGGACTTTTGGTACTTTTTCATTCATCAAATAATATTTTTTGAATTGTTTATAATATTGAACACAGAAACATAAATTGATTAAATAGGAGGTATTTTATAGTACTTTTTTCAAATAGTAATTTCGAAAATTTCTATAATGTGGAAGCTAAACGAATGAAACTAAAAATAAAAAATTCTTCCTGAATGCGAATTTATTCACGTGATATTGAACGTAAAAAACTGAAACAGTAAGATTTTTTCTAAATCAGTTTTAATTTTTTATAAAAGAAGTGGTTAGTGTTCTAGTCTGGTAGACCGGAGGTGGTGGGTTCGATTCCCACCTGAGGCTCGGGTTAAGGAGCGCACAACAGGCCCGATAGAGGCCTAGGTGTATTTCTTCGGATTTGATGTATATACATCCTCTTTTCAAACTAACTAACTAACTAACAAACTAACTAACTAACTAACTAACTAACTAACTAACTAACCTAACTAACTAACTACTAACTAACTAACTAACTAACTAACTAACTAACTAACTAACTAACTAACTAACTAACTACTAACTAACTAACTAACTAACTAACTAACTAACTAA